TTGCTAAAGCCTTACGGTCTAATTTCAAAAGAAAAATAAAATTATAAAGAGAAATCGATAAGTATTAATAAATAACTCGTATATCGTACAACTGACCTAAGTTACCATATTCAAAAAAAGGTAGATCGTGAGATTCCACCGGACCTGATCCAATAATAGGTGGATATGACGTTTTCCATGAAGCACCATTAAATTGAGTTGTGCCATTAAATCCGGCAATGAATGAGTCGATAGCTGTTGTATTGTTGAGATTTATTGCCATTTTTTATTGAATATAATTATAGTAAATATGTGTGTGCTTGTGTATCCAGGTCGAAGAGTACGGCCAGGAACTAACAAGATCCGGAGTCCAGAACCGTCGATCTGGGTAAGCCAATTCCAAAATCTAAAATGTATACCTTTAGATAGATAATTTCATTCAAACTATTACAGCCAAAAGATTTTTTCATTTGTTTAAAAAGGATAAAAACTTGCACAAATACTGAAAAAATACAATAAATTTCAGATTCAGATTCTTTGAGCTCGAAAAAAGTTACATTATTTCTTTATTTCTTTAAGAGTCCCCCTCCCCCCAGATCAAAAATCTAGTTTTTTCCCAGAGCACTCAATCTTAGTGAAATTTTTACCGAATATGTATCTGACCTCTAATAGTCTTCAGTAAAAAGTTGAGCTCAAAATATTGAGTTTTCCAGGAGTTATCCTACCATTAGGGGTCAAAAAGTAAGTACTCGTAATTCAAAAATCTTTTTCCGCAATTTTAATGATCTCGATCTCGGGATAGCGTCAAAATGTACAGAAACTTGAGGTTAACTTTTTAGAAAACTTGATTTTTTTTATATAGAACTAAGTTGAAAACAAAAATTTTGGCTTTGCTACGCTGTTACACTGAGCTCTAGCTTCATTTTAAAACCTTCTCAAGCTTTCTAGCATTCAAAATGGTGGGGAAAATTTTGAAGTACTAACAGTTAAAACATAAAAAACATTTTCAAAAAAAATTTTCGAGCAGGTTTTTTAGAAAACCCACTGAAAAACCCTAAAAAACCATCGTAAAACCGATAAATGATAGTCTATTCGAAAGTGTGGATGATGGGCTACCTAAATATGAATGAATCCTAAAATCGGTATTTTTGAAGAAAAATTTTTTTCTGACCGGGGCGAGGTTCTTAATAAGAAAATAACAGCATCTAAAGAAACTATTGTGACCAATTGATTGCTTGAATTGTATCAATAATTGCTTTGATTATAGCAACTCACACCATGATCATATTTATTCTTATGATAATCTATCGTGGGAGCACTTTATCTATTTTTTTTCTAGTAAGTATGTAACTAAAATAGTTATGTTTTACTAGCAATTAGGTAGTTACTTTTAATTAGGGTGATATATTCACTTTACTTTGTAGTTATTCTACCTCAGTTACGTAAATAGAAAGTATGGTAAATATGCTACTCTAACTAAAAATAACTATCGTACATTATTTTACTTTAGTTATGTAAATATAAAATAAAGTAAATATGTCTCTTCTAGTCAAGATAGTAATATAACATGATCTTAAAGAAAAAATTTGTTGCTCAAATATTATATAGTGATCATCTTCGTTGCTACTGTTCAGAGCTATGTCGTTCTAGAGACGCGCACCCCTTCCACTTACTTTGAGAATTTTTTAATTTTATGTAACAAAATTTGTATGTTTTATTGCAAAAAAAGGCCATCAAATGAAAAACTATTCTGCACCCCTTCTCCACTTTTTTCTTTAAGGCACATCCCTGCTACTGTTTGGTAATTATATCTAGTGAAAAGCTGAAGAGAATAAATGTAAAAGAAAACAACTAACCTTGAACTCGGCGATTATTAAACTGGACAGAAAGTAGAGAAATGAGCGTCCTATAGAAGAAAACAAAAAAAATAAATTAACTGTGCCCGCAGAACGAAAGGAAAAAAGCACTCATCCCAGACGCTAAAGAAGAAAAGTGTTAGATAGTGAGCTGTTCTTCTTCTCTTATGATATATGTGATGAACTTTTCGTTTCCTATCATATATATACATATATATATATACATATGATGAATTTTTCCTTCCCTCTCATATGTATATGTATATGTATATATATAGTGAGAGAGAGAGTATGTTACGGAAGTTCTGGTGATGTAGTTGTCAGTGTCACAACTAATGATGATTCCTAATATGAATACTGGATTTTAAGATTTTAGGATATTTTAATCTTCTTGTTATTTTCCTTATATTTTTTTTGATATGAAACTACGAGTTATATTTATGGATTCATAAGCTAGGAGAAAAAACTATTTTTCAGATTTTCAATTGATTTAGTTTGGGATTGATATATATTCAATATTGAGAAAGATTGTTCTATTGCATGCTGATATCTTTTAATTAAAATATCTATTGAAAACAATTACTTTATACAATCTCTACTTCGATAACAATGGTGATTTATTTTAATAAATCTTTGAAATCAGAAAAGAAATTCGTTATAGGGCTTGTTTATTAATATTCACTAGGATTTTATATATTCTTTATTTATTTGCTTTACAAGATTATTTATTAACCAAAAGAAATAAAATATTAGTTCTTTTGATATTAACGTCGTCGTCCAACTATTCCATGAGCATAAAGAGCCTTTTGAAGTTCAATTGGAATTGTACGTTTCTTATAACCTATTATACGCATTTGACCATATGGTAAATTATAACCAGATGTTATTACTGAACGACCTGAACGACTATTGATATTCTCCAATAAGAATGAATCATGTGGTATTAGGATATGTTTGATTTCTTCGTTTTCATATTGATAATTTGATAAACCATCAATATTTTGTGTCGATGCATAAACAAGAAATAAAACTAATAAAACTATGGGACGTAAATATGAAGCAGAAATAGAGGTATTGAGCTAGAAATATTATTCATAAAAATAAATAATCAAAATAGATTTCTATTTATCTTACCTTGCTCATTTTGTAAAAAGTAATATAACAATATATTGCTGCTGTTAAAATCAGAATAGACTGGCATTTTACTACATATATATATATATGTACTGTCTCTAAGGGAAAGTAAGATCATCTTAGTTTTAACTTGAGAGAATATATCCATATAGTCTTACAATTTCAAATTTCATAATATACATGTTGTCTTTCTAATGGAATAAAACTATTAAGATACAATGACAAGTTCTTAGTTTTCTGTTTTATTTTACAAAATGAGAGGATAGATCGAATGATATAATTAAAATGGTACGGGAATATTATCCCAGACTCCACCTACGTTCTTTTTACTATATTTGATCTGATGTATATATATAGATTATTAATAAAATATTTACAAACAAAAAAAGAACATATTCAATAGATAAATATAAACTTGAAGCAAAAAAAGAACGAAATTTATTTTTCTAATGATGACATAACAAATTGCATTGTTTATCTTTTTGACTCATAATTTATCGTATGACAACGATAAAAAAAAGATAATACTGATAAAAACAAAAGTGCTTCTTTTCATTCACTCATTTTTGTTAATTTAGTAAACATGTTGTTTTATACTTTTTTTATTCTTTTACAATTAAATATAATTCATTCATATTGTCTAACAAATTCATTATGTCAATTAAATGATGATTCAACAATACTCACATGTAATACTATGCTTAATGATACTAGTTTATTACCTGAAATATCATGTTTTCCATCTGTTAATACATATATATTTTATAATTTCGAACAACTTCCATCACATCTATTTTCAAATATAAACTTTTTACAAAATCAGTTCTATACAATAAAATTAATAAATATATCAATAATAAATTCTGATACATTTTCAAATAGTATACAATTACCTGAAAACTCAAAATTATCAATTATAATTGGAGATTTAAATATATCATCAAATATTCTAATACAATCAAATGCATTTAATAATATTAATATTGATTATTTACATTTTTTAAATCTTAATAATACAATATTTGATACAAATTGTTTTGGTCATAATCTCAATATAAATACTCTTATATTTGAACAATGTAATTTAACTAGTTTCTCAAATCATATACGAAAATTAACCAATGTAAATCATTTAGTAATTAAAAATTCTCCAGAATTAAAACAATTAACACAGGAAAATTTACCATCATTTTTGCCAACATTAACATCATTTGAATTATCAAATACTGCGCTAGAAATAATTCATCCACATTCATTTCAAGCATGGTCACTTATTCTTGAAGAATTTGTTATAACTAATAATACTAATTTAGAAATATTTCCTTCGGATATAGTTGATGGTGTATTAATGAAATTAAATAAACTTGATTTAAGTTATAATCCTATAAAATATCTTCATTCAAATTATAATTGGTTTCCATATAGTTATACAAAAAATTTATTATTAAAAAATCAACAATTGGATTTATTTCTTAAATCAAATATTTTAAAAACTTTACCATATTTAGAAAATATTGATTTATCTCATGGATTTATTAGTGAAAATTTAATGAAAAATTATTTTCCAAATATGTCAAATTTAATATCAATTGATGTTTCTTATACAAATTTAACTGAAAACATGATTATTGATTTACTTACACATTTAAGTCAAACAACAAATCATTTTATTGATATTTATTTACGTGGTCATATATTAAATGATGAAAATTTTTGTTCATATTTTAAAATATTTCAAAATGCACCAAATTTACTCAATCTTATATTAGATAATTCACATGAATGTAACTGTATTGTTGAATTATTCTATCGTGATAAATTACAAGATATTAATAATAATAGTTTATTAATACATCCAACATGTTTACTTGATTCTTCACGAAATCGTTGTGATATTCAAACACAATTAACCTTATCAAAATGTCCTACTAATGGTCATACAAATTCGGATGATACTATAGGAGATTATGCATTTGGTGGTGTTATTGCGGGAGTAATAGTTGCTTTATTATTATTATTATCACTTGGTTTTGGTGTTGTTCATAGAATCCGACAACGACGTAATACTGATCTTACTATGGAGAAACCTGTTGAAAATCCTTTAGCAGCAATTATTGAAGAACGTTTAGGGAACGTATAACTATTTTTCTCGAATATATATATTGAATTCTTTTATGAGTGATAAAAGATGGCGCTTTAACCATTTCTAACTATTGGAGAAGAGAAGTTTACTGACTATCTAACGATTAAATGAGAGATGAATCATGATTTGATGTTTTTAATCACATTATCA